CACATAGGCAGGTACCATTAACAACAGGCATAAGACCCAGGTCAGTGAAAGGAAGTTCTCATCCACACCCACCCCACAAGTAAGGTCTATAAGTCGACTTTGTCAGCTACCACAGATACTTCCCTAGTTACAGCCAGATCTGGGCAAAGCTTTCTGCCCAGGACACACTCTAGCTGACAGAATAAGAAGGGAAATAGTGCAACGCAGGCCTGATGGCCAGGGTAATCATTTATATGGCCTGGAACTCACTCCCCAGGAAGGAGTCAAGAATTCCTGTCATATACGGTGGAAACAAGAATCTCAGAACTCCAAGGTGAGAAAGAAGTAGACAATGCAAACTGAACTCTAAATACCTAAGTATCATCTAGTGCCCCCCCAAAATTAACATAAGTCCAGCACAACAAAACCAAAAGTCCAGTACAATGTCCAACACAAATCAACCAAAGAAATCCCGCCTTTTAAGTGCTCACAGGCATGTGGTACTGGCAATCAAATCCAGGGGTGTTCTACCACTGAGCTAAATCCCAGACCATTTTTAGATCTTTTATTATTTGACAGGGTTTTGTTAAACTGACCAGGCTGGGCTCAAACTGGCAATCCTCTTACTAAGTGCTGAGACAATAGGCACATGCATCACACACAGTTGAATTTTTCTTATGTTATGTTGTATTACATTACTATGAAAAACTTTTTGGATTCTCTCCCCACGGGATCAGTAAAAGGGGCAGGAACCACACACCCAGGATCAAGGCAGGAAGCTGAAGTCCACAGACAATGATGAGATTCCCAGGGACTGTAAGAACATTCAGCTGGTTCCTAGGAAAGGGAGGAGCAGCAGGCTGTAGGAGCCAGAAGCTCCACTCAATGACCATAGCAATTTGAATCTCTTATCTTTATTATTTTTGGCAATACAGGGGGCTGAATCCAGTGGCTCAAGCATGTTAGGCAAGTGCTACACCACTGAGTTATATCCCCAGTCCTTTTATCCTTTTATTTTGAGACAGTCTTGAAAAGTTGCCCAGACAGGCCTCAAACTTGAGATCCTCCTTCATCAGTCTCTCAAGTACCTGGATTAAATGTGTGTGTCACCATGTCCAGGTTAGTCACAGGAATTTGGAGTGATGACCACCTCACTCAAGGGACCTTAGACCTTACTGGATTCACAGTCCAGGACATATCTCCCTCTGCAGTTTCTGCAAGGTACTAGAGAGGAAAGAGGCCTACTATTATGTCTTTGCTCTTCAATGACTTAATCATTTAAATCTCCTCCTCACAGGAAGGAGTCCCTTCAACTAAGCCCTCAGCACAAACAACCAACATTACCCTGCCACATTTAACACCAGGGCGGGGTAGGAATCATTTTTCTTCCCATAGCCTCAGCCCAGAGCCAGACACACAGAGCCAAAGAATGGCTGCTAACAACAACACAACAAAAAAACACAATAAAACAGAGTAATCACTGGTGAGACAGTGAAAAAATAACTCCAAGCAAGATACTAATTCCTTAGTAAGGAACCCTGAAACTTTTGATATGAAGAACCTTCTAGTTTTAAAATTTAAGAACTATGTGGTGCTACATGCCTGTAATACCAGCACTCAAGGCTAAGGCAAGAGGATCACCATGAAGTTGAGGCCAGTTTGGGGTACAAAGTGAGTTCAAGGACAGCCTGAACTTCACAGTGAAACCCTGTCTCAATAAAAACAAAACAAAAAAAAAGAATTTTGTGTTTCTCTTAATCCATTCATCCAATCCCAAATCCCGAAGTGCAAAAACAGTAATAGAAGACATGGCATAGAAAAAGTGGAGTCTAGCCAGGCATGGTAGCGCATGCTTATAATCCCAGCACTAGGTAGGCTGAGGCAGGAGGATTGTTGAGAGTTCAAAACCATAAAAAAAAAAAAAAAAAAGAGAGAGAGAGAGAGAGAGAGTTCAAAACCAGCCTGGGCAAAAATGCGAACTCAAGGCCAGCTTGAATTACATAGTGAGACCCTGTCTCAAAAAGACAAAAAGAGAAGTGGAGTCCAACAGTACTAACAGACCTGAAATGAGGTCCCGCTATATGTACAAGAAGCTCCTTGATCTTCCAATCCTGAGCAATCTGGATTATGGATATGTGCCACCATGCCTGGCCTAAGGCACTAAATTTTAAGTTGAATGAAAAACAAGGCTTCTTCACACCTTGCCCCTTCTGGCACAGCCATATCCTGACTGTCCTATGTCAGGTCCCATTTCTCAAGTTAGTCCTACATGAACAAAGGGCAGAGAGAGCCTGGAGAACCAGAGTTGTCTTATATGAAGAGAATCTAGATGGCCTGAAAGGTTCCAGAAAGGTCGAGGACCTCTCAAGGTTAGAATGCTTAGCAATGGCTATCTTCAGACAATTAACTTACAGAAAATTTTGGGGTTAGAATAAAAGGACAGGACATTAATTCTTCCTTTTCCTGTGTAACCTTGCAGAAGGAATAATGTTCTTTTGACCCTGAAGGGGCTGGGGTGTGATTCAGTGGTAAAATGCTTGCCTAGTGTGCAGGAAGCCTTTGGTTTGATTCTTAGCAAGGTAACAACAATGCCAAGTCCTGGAGTCAGCCAGGTGTGGTGGAACACACCTGTACTCCCATCATTTGGGAGGCTGAGGTCAAGGATCACCATGAGTTTGAGGTCAGCCTGTGCTATATAGTGAATATGAGGCCAGCCTAAACTACACAGCAACTGTCTCAATAAAAAAACAAAAACAAGAAGAAAGTCCTGGTCAGGCCACCCAGCACCTTATAATATGGAAACTAATCCCTAGCCTAGCCTGGGTCACATGAAAATCACGTAATCATCTAGAAAACATTTTGAAATAACTGTTTCTAGTTCTAGGAGATTCTAATTCACTGACTCTGCATGTGTTCTCTGGGTAGTCTACATTTTCAGTGCCCAACCTGGGTCTCTCTTGAGCCCACTGAATGAATCTGATTTATATGTGTTCATGTTCCAAGATATGGACTAGATATATTGAGTTTAGGGAAGACAGTCCTTCACTGAGATCTGAGCAGCGTCTTTTATCTGTTCGTGACCGTGACTAGACAGAATAACTAAGCACAGCAATTTAACTGTCTGTAAACTTCAAGTCAAAACACAATTGACCAGGGGCCAGAGGTTTAGCTCACTAGCTGAAAGCACCTGCCTGGCAAGTGTGAGGTTGTGACTTTGATCTCTGGTACCAAAAAGCAAAAGAAAAAGAAAGAAAGAAAGAAAGAAAGAAAAAACCCACACAATGGGTAAAAAAATCATCTGAAAAAACATTTGACAGAGAAAAGTTTGCTCCAACTCATCCCTCCTAAAAGATCCAGCATTATGCTTGCTGAGACTACTTCTTTAGTCCCTGTAAGAAATGTAATAGCGGGGCTGGGGATTTAGCTCGGCCGCATAAGTGCCTTCCTTGCAAGTGTGTGGTCATGAGCTGGATCCCTGGTACCAATTTAAAAGAAAAAGAAAAGAAAAGCAATGTGATAGCTCAGAAGCCACAGTGGAGCAGACAAAATAAAGCCCTACAAGTCCCAGGATTTTCCACGGACTGGTTTCTTACTTTATCAATCCTCAAAAGTGGCTTTTCAAAGCCTGCCTGATAATAACTCTGGCCAGATACACACCTCTTCTAAAACTCAATGGGGTCTCTGGTGCCACTAATTGAGGGCAATTTCTCAAGGCCAAACCTGGTTCCTGTCTGTTCAAAGACTAACTGTTGGGAAACCATAAGTAAGAGGAATCCTGGAGGGGCTGGGGAGTTAGCTCAGAAGCATAAGCGCCTACCTAGCGCCTGCCAGGCAGTCGTGAGTTCGATCCCTGGTACCGATAAAAACGAAAAAGACAAAAAAAAAAAAAAAAAAAAGAGGAATCCTGGATTTCTGCAGCTTCTCACTCTTGTCCTCTCACCAAGGTTTCAGAAGGGCCCAGAGAATTAATCTAAGCCAGACAGCCCAAATGTGCCCCTTCCCCCTACTTCTTGTCTGGACCCTGAAGTTTGGAGCCTAGACTCAAGTTTGGAGTCTACTTGCCTTCATGTTAAATCTAACCTTATCATACCATTCTGAAGGATTCATCTGCACCTGAGAAGCAATTCTAGGCTGACTACGAAATTTACTTATCAGAACTGGACTGTACGTAAGAAATCTAACAAAGCCTATGAAACTCACATACACAATCTCATCTTTGGGACTTTTTTTCTCCACTAACATAGCAAGCGAACCCACCCATTGCTAGGGCTTGGTCACTCATAAAAAGGGCATATGCTAAGGCTACTAGCCCGGAATCGCCTCACCACATCAGGGCAGATCTTCTAAACCTGACAAATGTCTCACTGAAATGCTCTCTCAGCCCAGACTCACTTGTCCCTCTCCTTCATGCAGAGGAACCTAGAATGGGCTCCAGCGAGGAAGCAGGTTTCGTGTACTCCCGGTAGGCAGTCAAGCAAGGAAACATTCGCCTACAACCCAGTTAGGATGTGGTCGAGGACCGAGCAAGGGTCCCAAGTCCAGCTACAGCAGGTGGGCACCCTTACCCATGTTGGATCTGGAGCGAGCCAGGTGGTGCTGCCCATTCCTGGATCTTCGCAGACGGGTGGCGAGCCGTGAGGCTAGGGTCTGCCCGCTACAGTCTGCCTGCAGAGGTGGCGAGATTTAAGCGCCCAAGGCAGACGGGGCGGGGCCCTAAAAGCCCCATCCGACGGTCAAGACCAGAAAGAGTCCGGTCACAGCGCAGGTCGGAGCACCAACCCTGGTAAAAAGGTCCAGAAAGGCGCCCGTCTGGCTATCAGCATTCCCCACGGCCGCCGCCTCGCAGGACCGGCGGGAGGCGGAGCCGCGCGCGACACATGGCTTGGGCCCCGCGCGGCTTCTGGCCGCTGGGGGGGAGGGGGGAGGGGCCTCTTGAGGACTTGCAGCAGAAGCTCCAGGCAGCCCAGAACGCGGCTTCTGCGGCCCAGCCCCCGCCCCAGAGTGATAATCCCAACACTCACCGGAGGGGCTGGTACGATGGCGGCAGCGGCGGCGGCAACCCAGCGCGGTCTGCGACCCACTGTCCCTTCCCCCCTGCCTTCCCTCTCCCGCCCCGTAGCACTCTGGGAAGCGCAGTTCTGCGGCTCTTCTTTCTGGCCTTAGCGCGCTAAGAGAAAACTACAATTCCCAGTATGCTAAGCGCGGAGGCCTAGACACGGCCTGCTACGCGCGAGGAGAGACTAAACTAGGGAGGGTGGCTTGCCGGGGCGAGCCCCTGAGAATTGTGGTCTAGCGGAAGCCTCTGGAACATGGAGGTTGGCGCCAGTCTGGGGTCAGGGCTCTCTTGTCGCTGCGACCCAGCTGGCGTGGCCCCGCCCAAACTGTGCGACCGACGGTGGCTGGCCCCGCCTCTGTGAGCACCCAGTCCATCACTGAGCTGGCCCAGCTGCCCCTCCCTGGGCCTCTAGGCTTTTTCCTTTCTTGAGTCCCCGTCCATTCTTGGGCTCTCACCGCTTCTTTGGCTCTTTAAGGCATTATCACTTTAGCTAGCCTCGGCGGAACCCACAACTTCTGTCCTAATATTCGGGGCTAGTGGGGCCCAGAACTGATTTCCAGCGACTAGGCCTTTTTTGGGGGGGTCAGAGACTCATGCTCCTGGTGGAACTTGGCTGGACAGATTGCTCTCAAACAGAGAAGGGTCTTTAAAACAGTAACTTAAATCCTCTCCGCACACACACCAGCAGCAAATAAAAGTTATTAAAGAAAAACTGGCTCAAAGTTTAGCTGCTATTTTAAATGAGCAGATTATAAATAATCATATTCCCGCCTTTTGCCCTTTACTTTCAAAGCCCTTTTCATTGTTTCCTTGGTAACAAACATTTGAAGAAAGGCCTATCTCTAAGTCTGTGCTGGGAAAAATAGCTCCACAGCCAACACAGAAGACCACAGGAAAGGAAAATGGCTCCGGGGCTTCTCAGGCAACTACTAAGCCTTCTGTCCTAGTCAGATGTCCCACTACTCCAGCTCTTTTGAGAATTTTTCACCTTTAACCATTCCCATCACCTCCTGGGAATGACTGTGTAAGACCAGACTACGCTTTCTTGATTAAATCCCAGATCTGTCCAGATCACACTGCTTGACTATCTAGATGCCCCTTTAACACTCAGCTATTTAGAGCTCTGCTTTCCCTTGTTAGTCATGCATCTGTATCTGGGGCCTCCTTTGCTCTGTGAACAGCCCTCCCTCCAACCAAAACACCACACAGGGTGTGTGCACATAACTCCAGCACCAGGGAGAATCCACAGTTGCTGAGAGTTCAAGAGAGCAAAGGGCAAACAGATGTCTCTTTATCCCTTTGATCAATAGGAGTTCAGGAATACATTAAAAAGCACAAATGGTGCTTGCCTGTAATTCCAGCACTCAGGAGGCTGAGGCAGGAGGACTGGCAAGAGTTGAGGCTAATCTGGACTACAAAGTGAATTCAAGGCCAGCCTTACTTGTATAGCAAGACCCAGTCTCAAAATTCACACTCATATGCCCTAAAATAAATAAAGAGGCATGAAGAAGGCCTGGGGAAAGTCTTTGTTTGAGAAAAGAGTATGGAAATGGAAATGTTAAGACACCCGGTAAGGGCCCAACTGGCTTTTACCATCTAATTTCCAGCCAGAAAGTTAACCCTTGGAAGGCAGAAATCCAGTGTCTTTCTCAATCTGTGACCTATGACAAATGCTGTACTCTCTCCTTTCCACCAGACTTGTTTCTCAACTCAGTGCTAAAGAACCAGAAATGAAGAAGACACTGATATTTTTGGGCCACTCTAGCTTGAAGTCACAAGGCAAGTTCCAGAAGGAAGCAGTTATATTTCATAGAGCCCAAGAGTCTGTGTCCCAGAATACATAGCAAATAGGGATAGCTTTAAAGACATTTATCTCTTCCCAAAATGACTTTGCATAAACCGATAAAATTTCATCCTCTGCTGGGCATGGTGGCACACACCTATAATTTTAGCATTCTGGAAGCTGAGGCAGGAGGATCTTTAAGTTCAAGACCAGCCCGGTCTACAAAGTAATCTCAAGGCCAATCTGAACTGCATAGTGAGACCTTGTCTCAATGAGACAAAAAAAAAAAAAAAAAAAAAAAAAGTCGTCCTACTCCTCCAATATACAACGTAAAAACAGCAGACCTAGGAATCAAGGAGTTACAAATCCCAACTCCTTAATGCATTCTGTGGATCCAGCCATTTCACACTTAAGGTGTACCATACCCAAAATATCTCTACAAGAGTCTTTGTAGCTCAGAGCCATGGCTGATTCCAGCTGTGGTCTTTACTTGTTTATTAAGTACATGTATCAGATAGTGTGCTACATTTAAGAGATGAAATAGTGGGCCTGGGTACAGGTCAGCGGCGTAAGCACCTGCCTGGTAAGCGCAAGGTCCTGAGTTCTATTCCCAGTACCAATAACTAAATAAAAATTAAAACAAGCAAAAAAAAAAACAACAAAAAACCATACAGAAGAGATGAAATAGTGAACAAACTTCAACTCCAGCTGAGAATTTAAGAAGAAATTTAAACCCTGAGAGGAAGGAAGAACTAAATTCAATTTAGTTCTCACTTGCATCTTCTTGAGAGGCAAGTGTGGTGGCACACACCTGTAATCCCAGCACTTGAGAGGCTGAGGTAGGATTTAAAGGCAGCATGGGCTACATACCCAAGACCCTGTCTCAAAAACAAAACAAAACAAAACAGGGAGAAGCTGGACATGGTGGTACACACCTTTAATCCCAGCTGAGGTTTGAGGCCAGCTTTGGTACATAATGAGTTCAAGGCCAGTCCAAAATACATAGCCAGACCCGATCTTAACCTCCCCACTCCCCAAAATTAAAGGACTGAAGATGTAGCTCAGTACAGAGTCCCTGGGTTCAATCTTTAGTACTGGGGGGCGGGGGGAGATAGATAAAAAAAACTTGTGAACAAATTAGGACCATTTGGTGCAGTTTCTAGTCTTTGGGATGAAATGGGCCAGAAACTCTATGAAGACTTTGTAAGGGCAACATCTATGTGCTAAGGGCTGGTTTATAGAGAATTCTGGTCAATGAAGCATCTCTACTTACAGGGTTGGCCTGATCTTATAGGCTAAGGATATTTTTTCATATTTCAACAACATTTAACTAAGTTTTACAAAAATAAAATGCCAAAACCCAAATAAAAACCTTACTTTTTGTTTAATTTGTTTTGCCAAACAAACACAGTGAAAACTTTAGTCTAATTGTACAGAAAATAGAATTTGTAACCAGTAGCAAACATAACAGGATAAACCTAAGATCCTGGCAAAGCTGGATCTCCATCAGCAGGTCACCCAAGTTCCCTCATAAATGGCCTCCTAGGTAAGGAGTTTCTAAGAGACAGAGGCACAGATCAACTAATTCCCATCAGAATCACAGACTGCACCTGGAAATGGGAAGCATGAAAAGGAGGGGAACTGATGTTACTTGAATCACTACACACAAGTGAATTGTCTCTGATTGCTAGCCAACCTTAAGGTGTGGCTTTCCATAAACTCAGTCCCTAGGTATCCCACCTGAATCCCTCCTGAGGTGTTTCAAGTTCAGTGATTCTGAAGTCTCTGCTTAACCAGAATCTGCAACTGGGGAGGGAGGGTAGACAGTCATAATTGCTGGTGTCACCAGTGCCAAGTCTGAGGCCCCAAACTCCTGTTCAAGAGGAAACAAGTTAGACTGCCAGATTCACAGCAAGACTCCAGCTTCCTTAAACCTCAGTACTGTCGACCAGAGTATAGAAAAGTCAACATTAGCCTGAGGATTCCTTGGGCTGGAGGGGTCCAGGAATTCTACAGGCTATAGGGAGATCCATTCACATTCCGTGCTTCTTGCGGATGACAGCCATGGCAAGCAGACGATCCTTCTCACGAAGTTCCTCTCGAAGCTTGGCCTCGGTGAGGCGCAGGTGGCGGATGCTACCTTTCATCTCTTTCATCTTCACTTCCATCAGTGCCAGGATGTCCCGCTGTTCATTCAGCTTACGCAGGAGCTCCTCCTCCGTGGTGCCTGACGACAACGAGTATGAGTGGTCGGAACCAGTATCGGGGAAACCCTCTTCACCTACCACCACCAACTGGGGGCCCATCGGGCACTCGGCGGCCTCCAGCCCCGCTGTGGCAGCTTCTAGCTCCGACGCTGCGGCGGCGGCTGCTGCGCCCTCTGCGGCTGCGAACTCTACTTGCACAGTAAGGTCGATAGGCTTCACATCTTCTCCGGTGGGAGTGGTGGGTGCTGGTGGACCGGATCCAGGAGTCGGACTGCCGTCTACAGGGGCCTGAAGAGTGAGAAGCACTGCTGCAGAGGCAGACACCAGGTTTGGCTGCAGCTGGGAGGTCTGGGCAGTGGAGACGGACGGCGATGGCTGCTGCTGTTGCTGTTGTTGCTGTTGCTGCTGCTGTTGCTGCCTGCGTCGGGCGGCCGCGGCCCCCGCGGGTCTGCGCGCTACTTTGCGCTCATTGACGCCACGCAGTGGGAAGATGGTGGGAACACGCACCGTGTAGGTCTTGCGGCCGCCCTGGAAGTGAACGCTGCAGAGACGGTGGCCCGTGGTGGGTTGGAAAGTGGAGAAGCACCCACTGACGCCAGCACGGGACACGTTCTTGAGCCAAAGGCGCCGCAGCTCAGCGTCCTTGGGAAACGTGTAGAAATGCAGCGCCTTGTCCCGGTGCGAGTTATTGTAGCAGCCCGGTACGCAGCACGTAAAGCCAGGCATGGCTGCGCCGCGCGGCTTTGCGCGGCCCACCGGCCTCCTTCGCGCTTCGACGGCCCGGTCTGTCTGCTACCGCCAGCCCTTAGACGGGCGGCGCCCTGAGAGGCCGTAAGCAATCTCCCACTATTGCAGCCAGACGCAGCCGGCCCGAAAGCGCACCCTTGCCAGAATACGCTTCGCACCCGACCGCGCTGCGCCGCCGGCCCAGCACTCCGCCTGAGATCCGGAGTCGGCCCGGGGGACGCAGCGAAGGACCGCCTGGGAAGGAGGACTACGCCCCCCACAATGCACCGCGTCCGAGGTAGCTCACTTCCGGGGCGGGGAAGTGTTTACTCCGTCAGCTTTCCAGGTCTCCGCTAGAGTCCTCGCAGAGCAGATTCTTTTTCTGACCCGATTACTTCTCATTAGACGAAGCGTATTTGGCTGGAACCCTTTTGCAGGGAGTTACCTTACAGGGTCCCGGAATCCTGATAGAGGTAGTGGGAGGGAACGCACACCTCACCAATGCGCAAGCGCTAGCGGTCTGTGCCCAAAAAGACTACAAGTCCCATCAGGCTTAGCGCGAATAGAGCTACTGCGGCCCAGAGCGCCGTCTAAGGGAGAGGTGGGGTCACTGCGGATCAGGATTCCAGCGCGGTTCTGCTGCCTGCTAGAATTGGTCAATCCTCGAACTCCGAGCGCTTTGAAAAGACTGCATTCCTGCGGGATGAAGAGGAAGAAATTTAGGCCTCACTGCCCCAGGGACCTCAGCAACCACATTCTCAGTTATTGGGAAATTTCCGACTCGGCAGCTACCTTTAACTCACTGACGTAAATTAAGTCATCAGTAGGCACCTACTCTCTGTCGGACACAGGGCAGGGAATTTCGTGGAGCCTGGCCCACCTGGAGGGCTAAGGGTTTGTGTTTTGAATAATAGACGGGGAATGCGGGGGCTGGGGATTTAGCTCAGCGGCATAAGCACCTGCCTTGCAAGCAGGCGGTCGTGAGTTCCATCCCGGTACCGATAAAAATGAAAAAGACACACACACAAAAAACATCATAATATCTATTATATATTTTCACTGACATACTGTTATCAATACAGATCAACCCCACCCTCTCAGTCCACTTTAGTTAAAAATGATGAGAAGTCAAATTGACATTTACACATAGAACACTGACAACTATGCTCAAATTCTCAGTATAGCTGGGCGTGGTGGCTCATGCCTGTAATCCCAGCACTTGGGAGGCTGAGGCAGGAGGATCATTGAGAGTTCAAGACCACTGGGCTACAAGTGAGCTCAAGGCCAGCCTGAACTGCATAGCGAGACCCTGTCTCAAAAAGACACACACACACACACACACACACACACACACACACACAATTCTCTAGTATATAAAATCACCTTTAATCTACATTTAGTTTTCTGCACTCAAATCGTATTTGGGGAGTTGGAGGTGTAGCTAAATGGTACAGCAACACAATTCTGAGTCTCAGCACACACACACATCTAGAATGCATGACTCTGCTCTCAATATTGTCACCTCAGGAAAAGGGCAAGAACCTCATTACATGTCTCTGCTACATAGCTGCTAAAGAAAATCTGATGACATGATTACCTCATACCTCCCTCCAGTGGTTTCCTATTCCATTTAAAATACTGTCCTGAGTCAAAATAATCTTTCACACGCACACCTTTTTTTTTTTTGAGAGAGAGAGGGTTTCAGTACATAATTCAAATTGGCCTTAAACCATGTAACTCTGACTCACTTGCAGTTCACAGCAATCTTCCTGCTTTAGCTTCCCCAATGCTGGGATTACGGGTTTGCACCACGCCCAGGCAAACCTTTGCTCCTTTAAAAGTAAAATAAAAACATTGTTTGACTAGCTGGGGATTTAGCTCCATGGCATAAACACTTGCCTGGCAAGTGCAAGGTCAAGAGTTTGATTCCCTGTACCAAAAAAAAAAGAAAAAGAAAAACATTGTCCAAATTCCTTCTTAGATCCTGCAAGACCCCACGTAATCTGGCCCTTGCCAATTTATCTCACTTCCTTCACTCCCTCCTTTCAACCCGATGTTCTGTTCTGTTTAAACCAGTCAGCATTTTGGGATGCTAAGAGTAGGCTCTCAATTCCAGACTAACATGGACAATTTACTGACTTCCCAAGACCTTGTGTTTAAAAAAAAAAAAAAAAAAAGATCTAGGGATATAGATCAGTGAGCTCTTGGGTTCAATTCTCAATACTGCAAAGTATTAAAATGAATGGCATCATCAAGCACTAGGTACCTGTAATACTATTCAGGAAACTGAGGCAGGAGGCTCACTTGAGCCTAGGATTTGAAGCATCTTGGATAACATAGGGAGATCACCCCATCAAAACAAAACAAAATTTTGGTCGTGGTGACAAAAGCCTATAATCCCAACACTCTGGAAAGCCAAAGCAGAAGAATCACAAATTTGAGCCCAGCCTGGGCAATTTAGCGACTTAGTGAAACCCTTCCTCAAAAAAAAACAAAAAGGGCTGGGTATGTAGCTCAGTACGAAGCACAGAGTTCAATACCCAGTACCAGGAAAAAAAGAATGCTTATCAGGTGGGTATCATCTGAAATTTACAGATAAAAACGGAATGTGGACTAGATTCTACATTTGCTCAGCCTTACGTTTTGGTAAAGGTGCCCGGAGAGCCGGAATTTGCAACCAGGACCGCACACGCAGTGAACGGCAGTAGGGCTAGAACTACAACTCCCGTGAGCCTCTGCGGTACTGTCGCGAGAGTTATCTTAAATGTGGTGGCGGGAACCGGTTGCGTACAGCTGACATGGCAGTTAGAAGAGTGGAAGAGAGGATGGCGAACAGCTACAGCCCGGACAGCGATTCCACTACACGTACGCTGTTGCGCCGCGTGCTAGATACGGCCGACTTCTGCACCCCGCGGAGACGCCGGAGTGCTCGGATTAGGTATGCGAAGGTGGGGCGTTAGCAGCTAGAAGGACTGAGGAGTAGAATCTGGGTAAGAGCCACCGCCGAATCTATTGGAGAGGGAAACAGTCTGGGAGGAGCAGAGGTAGAGCCTTGAGAACTGCTTTCACTTCTCTAACGGGGCTTGGATCCGCTGTTTGTGCCTGCACCCCTAGAGACAAAGGATAGTTGCTGTGTTCTCCAAACGAGCTCATGGTTTGCAGAGCCCAGGCACCTGCACCTATCTCCTAAGTGGTTCCCACTTTTCCTTGCACATTCATTTCTTCTTTTTCTGTGGCTCCCAGCTGGACGGTGGGAAAAGAGCTATAAAGCAAACCTTCACAGAAGTCAGGAGGCAGGGATTGGAAAGATATTTTGCAAAGGAGCAGCAACTTGTCCTGACTTGGGAGTGTTTCAGGGAGAGGGTGGTGGTAACCTCATGTTGCAGAGGGTGCAAAAGTTGACATTTGCATGAGTGGGACAGTGCAGAACTTTTCCTTATAAAGGAATGCGAAGTTAACCCTGTATGGTGACATATCCCTATAATTCCAACACTCTAGGGGTAGATTGAAGCACGAAGACTGGAAGTTCGAGCCCAGCCTGAATTTGAGACCTGTCTCAAAATTAGAAATTAAAAAAGGTTGGGGAGTGTAGCTCCCTGCAAAGGCCCTCAGTTCAGCCTTCAATACAGAGAAGAAATAGAAATCATTCCTGACAGGTTTTAGAACTTTGAGTGATACTGTAGGAGCTGTGCCTGCAGATGTTTATGTGTCTCTGAGAGAGACTAGACTAGAGAGGGCTAGAGTGACCCGTGTGATTTCCATCAGCTCCTGATAAGTACTTAGAAGGATTAAAATACTTTTTTGGGTTGTTACTTTAATGCCTGGAGTGGATAATCTTCCACTTGCTTCTCTAGTCTATGTGACTAACCCCTACTTTCCTTTATGATGCTGCAATAGTCAGTTCAGTGAAATCTTCCTCATCTCTCCCTTCTGGCAGGGAAAGTCATATTTTCCTCTCTTCCCAAACCCTTCATCTTCTGTTCATGTGTGTTTGGGAACAGAAACTATGAGAGGCATAGTGTTTTCTGGGTTCCTATCCCTGCCTGAGGAACTTTAGGCCCTACTTAATTCTCAGAACTGTCTGTTGGTCTTTATACAGTGCCCAGAGAGCCCTGCTTGAAACACCTTCCTCCAGGAGGCAGAGTACCCAAACAAAGGTGACTGCCAGGCAGCATTTTCATGGAGCCAGAGTAAGTGTCCAGCCCACTGACCACAATAGGATGCTTGCTGCTTTCATGGACCCCCCAAAGTCTATTTTTGTTCTGGAGCCCACCATGAGAGAATCTCTAGGCAAAAAGAACAGACTGGTTACATGGTGGTTTTTTTCTGCAGTCTACTGGCAGATTGGTTCCTGGTCAAGCCAGTGGACACCTGGAGGAACAGACGCCCAGGACTCTACTGAAGAACATCCTACTAACTGGTGAGTGGGTACTAACCTGATAAGAGGTAGGCACCAGTCACCTGTTTGGTGGTATGCTTCATTGAGGGCAGCCTATTACATTGGCTCCATCTTCTCCATGGTGTTTCTGTAGCTCCACAATCTTCTATCGTGATGCCTCAGGTGATGATGAAGCCAACACCAGCACCACAAGTCCAGCCCTCCAGACGGGAAAGCAGTCAGGGCAGGTGTATAGCAAACTCCCCTTCTTGGCTGAAATATTGGGGAATTCTGGTCTGGGAGCTTCTTAGACTCCCAGAAAGATTGGAAGGGGAAGAATTTCCTTCCTTGTCTGAGATTAGCTCTCTCCTTATAGCTTAGAACTGCGGCTTCCTGAACTTGAGTCCCCCCCAACCCTGGGTCCAGTTCTGCTGGGCTCTGGCAGGAGGAAACAGAGACTGAGATTGTCAATGTTTCAGCAGGAAGTGGACCAGGAGCCCCAGGAGCTGCCTATCTCCCAAGGTGAGACCTAGGATACCACCTGTTGCTATCTCCTCCATCCTGTTCTCTGGAGAGGCTAAGGCCTGAGAGAGGACTTTCATAGGTTTGGTTAACTTAATCATGGTTTCTTCTTTTTGTATCCTCTTATGGGTCACTGACAGAGCCTCCTGGGAATCCTGATGCCTCATCCCTTACCAGGTGCTGTTGTCTATTCTGGGGGAGATTGGGATGGAGCAGAGGGTTGGAGAGGGAGGTGCTGACTGATGGAATCTGGTTGTACTGCTCTCAGCTGGTTTTATTTATTTATTTATTTAGGTCTTTTTGAGACAGGATCCCATTATGCAGTTTAGACTGGCCTCACTTTGTAGCCCAGGGTGACGTAAAACTCACAGCAATCCTTTTGTGTCAACTTCCCAAGTACTAGGATTACAGTTATGCACCACCATGCCTGTCTTCCCAGCTGGTTTTACCCTCACAGCATGGCCACATTCTAAGAGATGAGAGTTTCAGAGCAGATGGGACAGTCTTCTGGGGAAACTGGCCCTTACATACTTAACTGTTCTTTGTGCTTCTTCCCTCCCATCAGCTCTTTCAAGCTGACCTTTGCCACACCTCTTCAGCCACAGTCAGTGAAGAGACCTGGCTTGGCCCGCAAACCTCCCCCACGCCGCGCTATAGATGTGGGTGCCCTATTGCAGGATCTGCGAGATAATTCCTCGGCCCCAGCTCCTCTAGGTAGGATTGCATTTTCCCCTTTCAGCCTTTGGAGAAAGATACCCTCAAAGGTAGATATGAAGTGCTGCTGAGTCCAGGAGTGCACCTGTTCCAGTGGGGTCAAGGACACTGTGTGAACCTGACCCTAAGTTTAAAGGAGTTTCGACTTTCATTCCTCAAGGTGTTCCTGGCCTTCCTGTGGCTCAGACTTAATGTATTCATGTTTTCCAGGGCTTTATTTTCTTATACTACAGGGCTAAGTATAGGAAAGTGGTATGTTTTGGTTCCTAGAGCTGTTGGAAAATTGAAAAAGGGTAGGTTTCATGATCAGCCAGCCAGTTAGAGCTGATCTAAGGACCTGATTCCAGAAGATGAGTTCACCTGGCTAGAAGAGATGTAGGAGGGAGATAAGGCTTAGGGTTGAGGCCATCTCTCTGTGAAAGCCCCTCAGGCAGAGCAGATCTAGGGTGCCCACTGACTAGACCTTGGCAACTCTGGGTATCAGCAAATAGTCTTGGATATACTGAATGCCTGCTGGACCTCAATCTCCAGGTGACAGCCTCAGAATTCCTGTTGCTACTCTACTAACAGACACTGTGTTAGAGGATACACAGCCTTTCTCACACCCCTTGGTTGACCACTCTGCCAGTGTGTATCACTCCCTGCCACATCCTCACCCTGGGCCTGAAGATGCTGAGAGGGCTGTGCGTCACAGGACACAGAACAGCTCGCCAGAGCTGCAAAACCACAGTGAGTATGTGGGGCAGGTGGCCTGCAGCCATGCTTAGCTTGGGAAGAATTATCCCTACTGGCTTTCTCTCTTCAAACCTAGAGTCTTCTCTTTGTGGGTCCAACAAAGAGCACAGTCAGTGGGGCTGGGGATTTAGCTCAGCGGCATAAGTGCCTGCCTTGCAAGCAGTCAATCATGAGTTCGATTCCTGGTACCGATAAAAAGGAAAAAGACAGGAAAAAAAAAAAAAGAGCACAGTCAGTGTTGGGCCAGGAGAGTTTAAATTATTGCCTGGGTCTATTGTCTGACTTGGTCTCTCCTCAGTGAGTAAGGCTGTTGCTACTCCATCTTTACCCTTCTTAGGGCTGCCACCTGAGCGTGCTGCTCCTCCAGAGGTGACAGAAGCAGTGACATTCCAGAGGGCAGTGGAGCCTGAGGAGCAAGAAAGATCCTCAGAGTATGAGATCATCTCTGACAGGCCAGGTAAAAGGCCGAGTGTGAACAGATCGCAGAGGGCAGTGGAGCCAGAAAAATCTTCAGAGGATGAGGACATGTCTGACAGGCCAGCTAAAAGGCCAAGTGTGAACAGATCCCAGAGGGCAGTGGAGCCAGAAAGATCTTCAGAGGACAAGGACATCTCTGGCAGGCCAGCTAAAAGGCCAAGTGTGAACAGATCCCAGAGGGCTGTGGAGCCAGAAAGATCTTCAGAGGACGAGGACATCTCTGACAGGCCAGGTAAACGGCCGAGTGTGAACAGATCCCAGAGGGCTGTGGAGCCAGAAAGATCTTTAGAGGACGAGGACATCTCTGGCAGGCCAGGTAAAAGGCGGAGTGTGAACAGATCCCAGGGGGCTGTGGAGCCAGAAAGATCTTCAGAGGATGAGGACATTTCTGACAGGCCAGGTAAACGGCCAAGTGTGAACAGATCCCAGAGGGCATTGAGGCCTGAGGAACCAGAAAGATCTTCAGAGGATGAGGACATCTCTTACAGGCCAGGTAAACAGCCGGGTGTGAACAGATCTCAGAGGCCTGTGGAGCCAGAAAGATCTTCAGAGGACGAGGACATCTCTGACAGGCCAGGTAAACGGCCGAGTGTGAACAGATCCCAGAGGGCTGTGGAGCCAGAAAGATCTTTAGAGGACGAGGACATCTCTGGCAGGCCAGGTAAACAGCCGGGTGTGAACAGATCTCAGAGGCCTGTGGAGCCAGAAAGATCTTCAGAGGATGAGGACATTTCTGACAGGCCAGCTAAAAGGCCAAGTGTGAACAGATCCCAGAGGGCTGTGGAGCCAGAAAGATCTTCAGAGGACGAGGACATCTCTTACAGGCCAGGTAAACAGCCGGGTGTGAACAGATCTCAGAGGCCTGTGGAGCCAGAAAGATCTTCAGAGGATGAGGACATTTCTGACAGGCCAGCTAAAAGGCCAAGTGTGAACAGATCCCAGAGGGCTGTGGAGCCAGAAAGATCTTCAGAGGATGAGGACATCTCTGACAGGCCAGCTAAAAGGCCAAGTGTGAACAGATCCCAGAGGGCTGTGGAGCCAGAAAGATCTTCAGAGGATGAGGACATTTCTGACAGGCCAGGTAAACGGCCGAGTGTGAACAGATCCCAGAGGGCTGTGGAGCCAGAAAGATCTTTAGAGGACGAGGACATCTCTGGCAGGCCAGGTAAAAGGTGGAGTGTGAACAGATCCCAGGGGGCTGTGGAGCCAGAAAGATCTTCAGAGGATGAAGACATTTCTGACAGGCCAGGTAAACGGCCGAGTGTGAACAGATCCCAGAGGGCATTGAGGCCTGAGGAACCAGAAAGATCTTCAGAGGACGAGGACATCTCTGATAGGCCAGGTAAAAAGCAAAGTGTGGGAAAGAGTAGAAGAGTGGTGACAAGCTATGTTTACGGCATGGTACACTGGAGCTTGCCTGGGTGGTTCTGGGAACTGGTGATGTATGGGGCCAGGGAGACTCTGAGGGGCAGTTGTTTGAGTAGAGCTAAGAAAAGCCTTCGAAAAACAGGACAAGAAAAGTAGATCTGCACAGTAGGGTGGCATAGTCTTGCTTGGACCCCATTGTAACACTGTTGTTTCTCTGCAGCAAGCTCAGAATTGGCCTCCAACATCCCTGAGTTTCTTCAGGCTGAACAACTGGATCAGTTTCCTGAGCCAGCTTCACCGCCTGGTGTCGGAGTGTAAGATCCCATGACCCTGTTAATTATAGGCATCTTGAGAAAGGGGTAGACACTTGAGTTTGGCATATAGTCATCCCCTACCCAAAGTATGCTGATGATTACCCAGCCCACCAACCTGAGTTGGGCTGTGAGTTGCTCCCCAAGCATTTATCTATCATTCTGGTGCCTACTTCTGGGAGCTAAGAGGAACCTGGAAAAGTAACCTAGGTCAAGAGAAGGCTTCCTGAAGGGCCAGCAGACTTGGACTGGAAGTGATGGACTCCTGAGGGAAGTAAATATTCATTCTGAAGTGTGAAAATCGTATGCCTGAGTAAGTGCCAGTGACATGAAGACACTGGAGTACTATCTAGACTGGAAGGGAAGGGCCCCAGGAAAAGACTAGTTCTCTGTATGACCCCCTGACCATACTGCTCCTCAGGCATTTGATTAGAACTACTGGTCCAGGGTGGCTAAGGAGCACAGGGACCCAGTCTTAACAGGAACTAGCAGGACTTGTCCTTGAATAGGATCCTTTTCAACTAGCAGTTCAGCATCCTCTGTCTACTCCTTCCCCCAGCTTGTCTGCAGAGCCTCCAGAGCCTGTGTTGGCCAGACTTCCCTCAAGGCCCCGAACTGCTGGTTCCAGACCCCATCAAGATCCCCATAAAGCTGGAATAAGCTACTATACAAAACTCTTCAGCTTCTATGCTAAGATGCCTATGGAGAGGAAGGCTCTTGAGGTGGTGGAGAAGTGGTGAGTTTTGGACACCTGGGTGAAGAGAGGAGATGCGCAGGTTATGAATGGACTATTCAGTCTCTTCTACCCCAACCTTCTTGGCAGCCTGGATAAGTATTTGCAGCACCTGTGCAATGACCTGGACGTATTTGCTGCTCATGCTGGTCGCAAGACTGTGAAGCCAGCGGACCTAGAGCTGTTGATGCGACGGTGAGCAGGTGAAAAAGGGAGGCTGGTGTGGGAGTGCTGGGGCTAATTCTGTATAACCCTCTCTTACCATATTGCAGGCAGGGCCTGGTCACTGACCAAGTCTCACTGCACGTGCTTGTGGAGCAGCACCTGCCCCTGGAGTATCGGCAGCTACTCATCCCCTGTGCATTCAGTGGCAATTCTGTCTTCCCTGCCCGGTAGTGGCCAGGTCTCGACGCTTGTGTATCCCCACCTGGGACCTCTTAGTCCCATCTAATTCTTTGAGGTCTCTACCTCACCTCCTACTATCAATAAACTGTCACAAACAGAATATTCTGCTTTTTTTGGTACATGTCATAAGGCCAGCCCAGATCTCTCCCTTCCCTCCCTCACCCAACTTTCGGCATAGCTTGGAAAATAATATTGGTTCAGACAAGTAATTTTTATCTAAAAATTGAATTAGCAGTATTGGAGCACTTGGGATGCCCAAGGTGGTCTTAGTTTCCAGACTCTGATTCTCGAGGCCCTACACGCTTGACATCAGCCATCTGAAGCCGTTCCATTGCAGTCTGGAGCCTTGTTACAGTGTTCTCATTCTCACTGTCCTCATGCAGTTCTGACACAGGGATCTGGAAGGCCTGGCTCAGGTGAGTGTTCATATTTTGCTTGTCCAGTGTAGGATCAATGGTCATCAGGGCCTTGCGCATCTTGGAAAGAGTCACATCCTCATAGCTGCCCCATAAGAAGAGAGAAAGACAGGTTTGAGCTCTCCTTTCTTTACCTCGGACTCTATTTGTACTGTCCTATCTGTTAGGCTTAAGCAGTTTGTAGTGTCCATCAGTATGCAAAGAGATCCATGCAGAGATGCTACCCTGAGCCAGGGATATTCCTCAGTGGCACAATTGCCTGCCTGGCAAACACAAAGTCCTGCGTTTGATTCCCAGTACAAAAAAAAAAAAAAGATTATACCCTGTGGGACTTGTCCAGACCATGGGATTCATCAATGGCTGAGTGAACCTATAAGCCTGGCAGGAGGGTAGGGGTGGGGTAACTCACAGTTCCAGGCCCAGCTCCTGCTTCAGTTCCTGTAGGTACTCATCCTTCTCAACCAGGTACTGTTCCCACAGCTTTTGCACAAAGGGTTCATTCCGACCCTCCTCATTCTGGAAGGGGCCAAAAGATAGGGTGAAGCTCCATGGACCAGGGTCCAATCAAGGCAAGGATAAGGGATGGGCGAGGTCCTGGGCCACACACCCACCTCTGTAAATAATGAGCGGTATTCAAAGAAGTCTGTACTGCTCGTGTTCGGATGCCAGCCCACCGCCTCCATCAGCTCCTGAATACGTTCTTCCTTCTTGAGGGGGAAAGTACTCTTCAGGATGGTGCTGTGAAGAGACAGGAGAGCCAACAAATCTTGCTGAGGCTGCTCACCCATCTTCCCAGACCCTCCTCTGCCATCCTTATTGGAGTTCAGAACTTTTGAACTTTGAAGCTGTGGCTCTTCCTACCAGGCTCCCCTTTTCCCTGCGTAGCTGGGAGGCTGGCCAGAGGAGATGTTGGACTAGAGTCTGGGGTGGGTTGGACTGGCCTCACCTCAACTGTTCCATGGTTAACAGCCCCTCATTCTGACTGTCAGCATTTGTCATCTCCTTCAGCAGCTGGGCTACTGTCTCCTTCTGGTTGATATACACACTCTCTGTCATCTATAGGGATAAAAGCAGTTACTAACTTGCTGCTTCCTAGAGTGCTATGGGCAGAGCTGGGTTGTGGTGGAAGACAAAAACCCTTTAAATCTCCCCAACAAACTGAGGCCAGTCCCAGGCTCACCTTTCCCATCAAGACTGCATAGAACTGACTCATGACATCATTGGAGCAGAAAAGTTTGATATTTTCAAAAATGGTATATGCCCAAGCTATGGCATTACTCGGCCCAAAGCGACGCTCCAGGAAATTGAAGAAGAAATCCGTAAACTTCTCTTTCTGCAGGGTGTGGAGAAAGGGATGCTTGGTCAGTCTGCTCCATGCTCTCTCCCTGTTCCTAACACTTCGAGAGCAGTGGTGGCATACCTATGACATGTGTGTCACAGTGGGCTGTTTGTATCATGAAAGCTTGAAAAGGTTCATCATCACTGCCCTAAAGGACTCTGGTTCTGTAAGTCCCATTGGGCCAACATGACTGGTGAAAGCTGACCTGTTCCTCAGCAAGACGTTCCTTCCAGGCATCCCTGAGGAGCTTTACCACATCTCTCTTGCTTGGTTTTTTGTTTTGCACAGGACCATCAAACCGAAGAAAAGGGGGGATTTCCTCTCCATAGCCCTGTGAGACAAATGTCAACTTATATCTGAACCCCTCTGTGGTCCCACCTCCAAGGAAGGTAGAGTCCCATATGGGGCCCCTGGTAGCTCAAGTTTCAGCAGCAAGGTCTAACTTTAGCCTTAAGCCTCCCATTCAGAAACTCGCCTACCAGGCCAGGGAAAAAGTCTTTTTCCCGGAGCAGGCCCTCGCCAATCTCCTCTAGCAGCACATCCACCAGCTGGTCACTGTTCTTGCCCTCAGCCAGCACTTGCCAGCGATCTGGGCCCCCGGCCACCATATCTGCAGGTAGAAAAAGGACGTTTGATTCCAGTTCATGCCCTCCAATAGGCCTTGAGACCTGGATGGCTATCATTACCTCCGCACTTAGTCCAGTCAGGTCGTGGTGTGGAGGTGCGCTGGATATCCTGCAGCTCAGAAAAAAACTGGTCCCGTTCCTTCAATGTGGTCATGTGCAGTTGTAGCAATATCTCATGCTCCTTGCGAACCTCTTCATAGTCGGCTCTCAGGCTGTCCAGCTGTGGGCAAGGTGGTTGGTCCTAGCTACCCATCTATATGATATTGCTCTACCCATGCCTTGCTTTGCCCACCTGCTAGCACCTGCTCCTGAAGATCCTTGTTAGTCTTTTCCTGCATTTCAAAGTCTCTCCTGGGTACCACATCTCCAAAGTTGGCCTTCATGGTGTTGAGTTCCATCTGTGTGCGGGTCAAGTCTTGCCGAGTCATCTTCAGAGCCAGTGTCAGTTTCACAGGGTCTTCCCCCCAGACACCTGTCAGGGGCCCCACCAGCCTATGGCAACCTGGCTCTCAGGCTTGGTCCAAGGTTAATGTAAATATCCCTTGGGGTATGCCTAAGGTCCTTCTGCCCTCTCTTTTTGGGATTCTCCAGGTCTTTTCCACAGTATTACCACCCTTGGGGTTTGCCTAAAGTAGGGAACCCGGGACAGGGAGTACAGGCCAGAACAACCTACAGGGCAGTCTCAGCTGCCAGTAGTATTACTACTTAAAGATTTTACTATTTTTAGTCCAGCTCAGAAAATACATAGTCCCTAGGAGCTGGGGATTTAGCTCAGCGGCATAAACGCCTGCCTTATAAGCAGGCAGTCATGAGTTCGATCCCCGGTACCAATAAAAAGAAAAAAAGACAAAAAAAAAAAAAGAAAATACATAGTCCCAGCTAGTGACAGGGACATCTCCCAACATGTATAAGAACAGAGTGAGAAGATATTAGGAATGTTGAATCAACAAGGTAAGTGGTGACAGCCAGACTTCTCTCTAGTGCTTCAGAAAAGGAGAGATGCTCAATTTGGGGTACCTGGGGACTGGGCTAGTGACATGTCCTCCCGCTGGTACCGTAACTCATTTAAGTCTGCAATGAGGATCTTGCGGGCATCTCGCTCGGTGAGGTAGCGCAAGTACTCCTCAGCCAAGTTCTTCCTCAGCTTGGACACCTGCTAAGAAAGTGGCTGGTAGTGAGGGACTTTTTTTTGGACCTCCGTAGGCAGCTAGTCACCACAGGGTGGGAAGAGTGTTGGATGATCCTCTCAGCTTAGGAGCAGAAAAGGTGGAGCCAGGTTTAGTGCTTTAATTCAGCACTCTTGGGAGGCTGAAGCAGGATAGCGAGTTTGAGCCCAGGCTGTGAAACTTGTTTAGTGACAGCCTATCTCAAAATAAAAAAGGGCTGGGGAATGTAGCTTAGTGCAAAGGACCTGGGTATAATTCTCAGTACCAAAAAAAAAAAAGTGGCTATTCCAAGATCCAGAAAGATACCTGTTGGGAAGGCTTGCTAGGACTTGGGGTCATGCTGCACCCCTCAGCAAATCAGACTGGAGGGTAGAAGTAATAGAGGGTCTGGTGGGAAGGGCTGACTCTGTCTTCTGGCAGAAGAGTGGATGATGGTCACCTCAGTACTCAAGGGTGGGAATGGAGCAGGGCTTCAAGAACTTGACCAGCATATCACTTCCATTTACCTCACTCTGCAATGAAATCTTCTCCTCATTCTTCTTATCGATGAGTTTTAGCAGATTCATCTTCTCTTTCTTGAGCATGGAAATTTCATACTTCTCCTCAGCCCTCATGGCCAGGATCCTCTCGTTGCAATCCTCACTCATTGTGACAAGCTTGGCCTTTAGGGGCTCCAGGGCCCGAATCTTCTCCCTTTGGTGGGCTAGGCAGAAGCATATAGGAGAGTCCTTTTGGAACCATGGAGAACAAACAGCCAGTAGACACAGATCTTAAGTTATAGGTGAGTGGCTGTCACTTGCAAACACCAGGAGTCTGTGCTCACCTTGTTCAAAGTCTGGCCCCTGCCTCAAGCCTCCCTGTAGTAGCTTTTAAAGCAGGGGCAGAACCCAACTAACAGCCTCCTAAGTCTCTCCTATAGTTTTGCCTCTACACCTTTAGTATTTGTGCTGCCAAAGCGAGAACACCTGTACACCTTTAGATTTGCAACTTCAGCCTGATTGACCCTAGTGGGAGAGATTCCTCTCTCCAGAGGCACTCACTTTCCTGGGGTTCTCTCTGGTTGTTCCTATAGGTACTGCCAGACTTCTCAAGGATGAGAGGGCCCTGGTATACTCTAGCACAGTATATGTAAAAGATGACCTCAAAGCCCAGTTCATAGCCCTCCAGCCTTTGCTGCAGAGTTACAGAAAGGCAGTATAGGATCCTCTCCAAATTTCTGACTAGACCCAGAAGTGGGACTGCATTTTTGTACTAGGGGTACTAGGGGTACTAGTACTAGGGGTGCAGCCTTTGTCATTTTGACTTTGAAATGGTGTCTTGCCAAACTAAATTCTTGTTGGATTTGAACTTATAATCCTCCTGCCTTAGCCTCCCAGGGTGTTGGGCTTATTGGCATGAACAACTGTAAGCAGGTGGTTGGGAGCTGTGTTCTTACCAAGCATCACCTCATATGCATTCTTGATGGAGGATAGCAGTGGTTTGTATGTTTTGAAATCCTCTATGAAGAACTCAAAGATCTCCCTGTAAGGCTGGCAAAAGAAGAGAATCTTTTACTTCTTGGCTCATAGCTGCCATCCTCAGTGGGGACCTGTGTTTTTCTTCACTGTGCTCAGGAATGTTCCCATGTGAAACTGCTAGGTAAGCCCAATTGAGCGAATGCCCTGGTCAATATTTAGATCCGTCACTGTGCCACAGACCTGGGGGACAGTCCTCTGGAGGCTTTTCCTGATGCTGAGGTCTGGCAAATCACTATGGGGCCGACTTGCCACTCTGCCAGAGCCTCTCTGGTTCTCCAGTTGGGCAGCCTATTGCCTTCTATAACCTCTGTCCATTGGTTTCTCTTTTCTTTTTTCTTTTTGGCACTTGCCAGTTAGGAGCTTATGCCACTGAGCTAAAGCCCCAGCCCTGTCCATTGGTTTCTCACCTGTAGTCCCTCTCCATCTCTGAGCCCTGTCAAAGCAGGAGACTGAAAATTCTAGTCCATTGTTCTAGCCTCAAAGTGAAAGTATGATTTCCTGTCCCATGTGGACACAAGATGATTTGTGTGTGTGTGTGTGTGTGTGTGTGTGTGAGAGAGAGAGACAGAGACAGAGACAGAGAGAGAGACAGAGAGAGACAGAGAGAGAACCAGTCCTGAGTTTGAATCCCAGGCCCACTGCTCCAAGCTTTTGCTTCCTTATTAACGTGGCATCTTCTGCTTGTGATACTGTCCCAGGGCCTGGCATAAGGCCAGGGCTCTAAAATCCTTCAGTCATGACTTGGTCAGACATGAGAGTTTCTCTGTTGTCATTTCTATTTGAGTTTTTCCCAAATATGTACCAGAATCTGGGTTGCATCTAGACTAATCTCCCTCACTCCTGCCCTCCTTGATGTCTTGGCTATTTTTTCAAGCATGGGGTAGCTGTTGCCAGGATGATGGTGACTATATGACTCTTGCTTGCCCAGGTGTCAGATTCAGGGCCTATTTGCTGGTATTCAGTGACCCAGCCTCGGTGTCCCAGAGCTGAAGAGACTGGAGGCAACATTCAGCTCATCTGACTCAAGTGAGGAAGCCTCAGCCTAAAGAAGGTTTTAATTCCAAGCTGCAGCCTTGTCTGATCACTGGTTTTGTAATAGGATGTGCTTTTCTGCAGAGAGGAAGACTCAGAAGAATTGGAAGAGAGTTCAGTCCCTGCTGAAGATCTGAAGTGCTCAGTCCTGGTTGGGGAGGAGTCTTCCCACCCTTCCTAAGAGTTAGTCTTGACTCTAACCTGTAGCCTCAGCTCCTGCGCAGAATCCGTGCCCAGGTCTAGCAGGAGGAGTTCCTTGCGTAGGTAGTTCTCTAGCTGCTCCAGGTACCTAGGCTTGGCAATGCCTGTGGGCTGCTGCTGCCAGCTACTGCAGGGGGTGGGGGACTGAGATGTCACCAGCCCCCCAAGTAGCTTTGTACCCTTACTCTGAGGCACACCCTTCTTCCCTATCTGCTGGCTCAATGCCTGGACTATGCCAGCTCACCCACCACTGGACTGACCCTGGCTTACCTGGTACGCTTCTGGGAGTCATCTGAACAAGGCTTCCGATTTTGCAGAATGGTCTGGCCACTGGTATATGTGGGCCACGGGGACAGGTGGCCACTCTTGGAAAATTGTACAGGCTTCAGGGAGAGACAGGTGGCATTAGGATGACAACATTTCTCTCTTTCCTAATGTTCCTTTGTATGTCTTCTCTGACATTCTGGATTTTTTTAAACAAACATCTCTTAATATGGTTCATAATTTTTTTTTAAAGCTAGTCAAATTTAGCAGTGGGGGGGTATACCAACTTTAGTGACACTAATGTTAGTAAGTTCTGATAACCCACTGCCATCGGACCAACCAATATGGTTCATAATTAAGACTGTGATCTTTGGCTTACAGAGACTCCTTACCTTAAGTTGCAGATTTCCCTTGTTAGCTACATGAACACAGCTTAACTTTGAGCTTCAGATTTTGCTTTTATAAAGTGAGAATGAGCATAGTCACCTCACACTGTTTAGAAGTGAGGAGGCCAAAGAATGCAGGGCATGTGGTTTGTACAGACTGATACCTGCTAGGAACTCAGGAAAGGTAAGCCACCGTCTTTTACAGATAAGTCTGAGTTTTAAATACCTGTGTTATAAAAATATGTGAGTATTATCTCCAATATGGGGAATCTAAAAATGATGACAACTTTTTATTAAAAGAAGAGGAAAGGGAGGGTAATAGGATGGTGAGCAAGATATATACATTAAGACCGCAAAAAACTGAAACTTGGGGAGAGGGCAAGGGGGGTGATGGGGTGAAATGTTTTGAAGTACATTAATGTGTACACATGAATCTGCTAAAATGAACCTCATTAATCTGTATAGCCAATTTAAAAAATGAGAAAAAGATGGCATTCTTCTTTGGAAGGATGGATAGAAAGTAAATTATCTTATCCTCTCCACAAACAAAAAACAAACAAACAAATCTAAAAACCTGATGTGAGTGTCAGAGAGCCCCCAAGCTTGCTCTACTGCGCAGGCTAGTGAGACAGAGAGAGGAAAGGCCCAGTCTCAAGCCTGGACTGAATTATTTAAAAAGAACTATCTATGGTCCTGAGTCTAGCCTCCAGCTTCTTCAAGGATGGAGGGGTCAGGCCTGCTTTGATGTCCCACATAGCCAGGTTCTCAGAGCTCTTCCAGGACAATAGTGACTGGCTCCTGACCCTCCTAGTGTAGAAAATGTTATCTTTTCTTTGGATTCTTTTGTTGTTTTGAGATCAGTTTTCTCTTGCTGTGTAGTTCAGGCTGTCCTTGAACTCACTATGTAGCTGAGGCTGGCCCAGAACTCAGAGACAGCCTCCTGCCTCAGTCTCTCAAATGCTGAGATTATAGGCACTTATAGGTCCCAAGAAGGACTACGGCATCCTGATTGGGTTGACCTATCTCTGTACCTCCAGAATTGACAGCAGCATACTTCATACTCTTCATGGTAGTATTAGGTAGCATTCAGCAAATGTTGGTAGTATTAGGTAGCATTCAGCAAATGTTGTGGAATAAATAATAAGTAAATGAGGCAGTGCAATCATTTGGTATAGAATAAAAGCATAATAAAAGCTAAAATGTTGTTGGGGATTTAGCTCAATGGCACAAGCGCCTGCCTGGCAAGTGCAAGGTGAGTTCAATCCCCGGAACCCCTCCCCCCAAAAGAAAAGATAGGTGGGAAAAACAATGAAACAATTAGAAGATTTTTTTGACAGCTCTTCCTAGTCAGCCCAGGTTGGTCTTAACATTGGTGGCTGGTCTACCAAGTGATGGATGGAGAGGGAGAGAAGTGGAGGGGGGAGGAAGTAAAAAGAATGGAGATGTGGTATGTACTTTATCAACTCCCCATGACAAATGTAATCATTATTTACAGCAGACGTACTCATAATTTTTTTTCTTTTTTTGGTTTTTTGAGACAGGGTCTCACTTTGTAGCACAGGCTGACCTTGGATTCACTGTGTAGCCCGGACTGGTTTTAAGTTCTGAGGTGATCCTCTTGACTCTTTTTTCCTGACTGCTGGAATTGCAGTTGTGTACCACCATGCCCCGCTAATAATTTTTTTTAAGAAGGAAAGAAATTTGTAGATATCTGATATCAGCCCCATGAGTACAGGCATGTGCCAACATGCCTGGTACAATTAAAGCTTAAAGATTTCTATCAGGATAAACTACATTAAGCAGAGGAAGGTTGAATGACAGTAATTTGATGGTAATAAAATTTATAATGGCAGATGAACAGGTTTATAACCCGTTAAATGAAAATAATATCTTAACATATACAACAAGTAATCACGAGTCACGGATGAAGTAATACTGAACCCTGAGCCTTTATACTGAACTACATCTTGTCTTCTTTCTTCTGTCTTTTAAATTTTTTTTGGTACTGGGGATTGAACTCATGACCTCGTGCTAGCCAGGCAAGTGCTTATGCCACTGAGCTAAATCCACAGTCCCCCTAACATACCTTTTATATCAATAAGTTGCCCAGGCAGGCTCAAATTTTCTACTCTCCTATTTTATTTTATTTTCTGGTACCTGGGATTGAACTCATGACCTAGCACTCGCCAGGGAGGCACTTATGCCCCTGAGCTAAATCCCTACCCTCCTATTTTTATCCTCCTGGAATGCTGAGTGGGTTTTAACACATTCAGAAAAGATATCTTGCATTGGTGATATGTGACAGAAATAGGAATGAACAATATAAAGTCTCTAAAATAACTATCCAGAAATTGAAAATAAATTCATATTTTCTCTGACCCAGTTATTACTTAAAATATAACACATTGTTTGTGTGTGTGTGTGTGTGTGTGTGTGTGTGTGTGTGTGTGTGTGTGGTGAGCCATACCTGTAATCCCAGCATTTTGGGAGGCTGATAGGAGGATGAAAAGTAAGCCCAAGCCACTGTGTTCCCTCTTGCATTTGGCCCATGCTTATGCTATAGAGTGTGCTTCTTTTCCTACTTTTGCATGGCCCAAACTTGCCCTGCAGAGCTTGTTTCTTTTCCTACTTTTAATAAAACTTGGCTACCATTTGGGAAAAAAAAAAGTTCAAGCCCAGCCTGAGCAGTTTAGCAAGACCCTGTCTTAAACTAAAAAGAGGCTGGGCCAGGGATGTAGCTCAGGGGCACGTTGCCTGCCTGGCAAGTGCAAGGTCATGAGTTTGATTTCCCAGTACCAAAAAAAAAAAAAAAAAAAAAAAAGAGAAAGAAAAAAGGCCTGGCTTTGTTTAGCCTCCAGTATGGGGGAAAGATGGGAGTGGAAGGGAGGAGTGTATGTATTCTGAGTTAGTATTGGCCTTTTCAAAGTCTGAAAAACCTAACATTAATCCACCAGGCGTAAGTCCAAGGTATTGTCCAGGGTTATTGTGCATTTTTATAATAATGACATGAATTTTGGTATTCTTTCAAAAATATCTTTTTCTGGATTGACATTTTATCACAGCTTTATTTTTATTTATTTATTTATTATTTATTTTTGGTGCTGACAGATTGAACCCAGATGGTCTACCACTGAGTATGTATCCAGTCCCTTTATTATTTTTTGAGACATAGTTCACCTAAATTGCCCAGCCAAGACTTGAATTAATAATCTCCCTGCCTCAGCATCCCTAAATGCTAGGAATGGCAGCGAATGCCTGTAATCTCAGCACTCAGGAGGACACTGAGAGTTGGAGACCAGCCTGACTATATGGCAAGACCCTGTCTCAAAAATAAATAAGCCAATACTCGTGCTCAGCTGTTTTTACTGGGGGAAAAGGGTTTGACTCGAGAGGCGAGTAGAAATATCTAGAGGCGTTGGCCGCGTGGTGGCATGGTTATTTTAACAGCTGGGCTCAGCTGGCTGGTGACTTGGAACGCAATGTTCCAGGACGCTCCACGCTCTCTGCTACCCACTACAGGTAAAAATAGGGAGGTGGCCTCCAGAGCCCGGAGTAGCAGCCGGGAGGTAGGGAGAACTGCGTCCCCTGGTGGTTGGTTTTGGCTGCACAGAAGAACGAGCAATGAGTTTGGCCCGGGATTTATTGAGTTAGGTTACAGCTGATGGGGCAAGGAGGTGACCAGGCTAGGCAACAGGGGACATGGCTCAGCTCTGCCTTTACAAACAGAATCCCTGTCTTACCCCACCTTTACAAAGTGAGTCCCCAGCCTCACGAAGTGTGCAGCTTACATATTCTCAAATCCTCCTCAAGGGACAAGAAAAGAAATACACAGACTACAGTGCTCCACTGTGAGCTACAGTTATAAGTTTGCTCAAATGTATTTGTTCCTCTGAGATTTGGACAATAGTTATTTGTAGATTAAATAATAATCTTATGATCCTACCAACAGAAACTCTGTGGTAGAGTGAAAACTAGGCAAGCTATGTAGTTCAGGCTGGCCTTGAACTCATAGTGATGTTCCTCCTCAGCCTTCCAAGAATGCAGGGATTATAGGCAAGTGCCACCATACCTGGAAGCATTCATTTTTATATAAAAACTTTATTTATTTTTGGTACTGGGGATCCAAATCATGACCTCATGCTTGCCACTGAACTAAATCTTCGGCCCCTTACATAAAAACTTTAAAGAAAGGAATGGAGGAATCGAGAGCCAAGAACACAATGGAGAGACAACTCTTTACTCTTCTCATAAGCAGTTCTGCAGCTCTCAAAGTATGCTAGCCACATAAGTACCTTATCAGATACTAGTGTCATAAAGACAGAGAGATATAGTCATAGCACTAAAAACCTCTGGAAGATCAGGTGTGGCCATTCCAGCACTGAGCAGGTGGCGGGCACATGGTAGGCTTGATGAAGTAATGAGGTCCACTCCAGAACTGAGCTGCTGGGAAAGGGGTGTGAGGGAATGGGGGAGGTCTAGGAAAACTTTTTGAATGAGGAGCAGCCAGTATTCTCTCCCTGCCTTTCCAAAGCCTGATGAGCCTTGCCTCTTTGAACTGTACTCTCACTTTGGGAAATAATTACTCTAGTGGGCATATTTCAGATTTGTGGTGCTTTTGGGTTGCAGAAAAGTAGACAGACATGATCCAGGGACTGGTATGTGGCATTCCAAAGGGGCACTGTCACTAACCGGTGTCTTCCATTTCTGTGAAAGCTTGAATTTCTGGATGTTCTTGGATTCTGGAAAGGAATCATCTATGGTCACTCCTGAAGAACCCAGGTATTTTCTGCACAGAGGAAAAGCTAGGGGTGGGTGATAGAGCCCAGACTGCAAAGAGCCTCCCCTCCCATTCCCAAATCTACAAGTCATGGCCTGCCCTCCTCTCAGATGCAGGCTCTGGGTTTTGTCATCTCTGCCTTTAGATTCCTAGAGATGCTGTTAAGCAAGGTCCTAAGCTCAAATCATTTCTTGACCATCACTAGAGTCTTACAATATTTGACAGCTGCAGGATAACCTTACTATGAACCCAGAGATCCCTATGGTCTTAAATTTCCATTCCTTATTGCTGTGGTGATCATTTCATGTCCGAAATCTCAAACACTCTAAGGATGTGATACCAAAGGCAGGTGCTATAGAACAAGAAGCACAGGGTCTATGGCTAGGAGCTGGCATGTGAGTCTGGATCATCCACTTATGGTTGATAGGATCTGGAGACTAATATTTAGGAGAAGCTGTTTAACCTCTTAAGCCTAGTTTTCTCTCAAAGAAATGGAAACAGTTCTTGCCTTGCCTCTCACAGCACTATCAAGTTCAAATGAGTCAAGATATCCAAAACACAAGTGACTCACAAAGAGCTGCCCAGATGTTAATTATGACAGCAGGGTGGGATAAAAGTGGATTCTAAGGAGGTCTCTCACACCAAACCTACTGGGAAAGCCAACCTTTGTTCTAGCTAGGAAGGTGTTTGACAGCCATAGGGAAGGCTACACGCTGGGAGGCAGCCTCAAGTGGAAAGGCAAGAAGTGATTTCAGCAACCCATGCCACCTGACAGACCTGTGTGTTCATTCCCCCTTACTAGCTGGTGACTTTGGGTGTGCTGCTTAACCTCTCTGAATTTCAGTGCCTTTGCCTATATAAAAGTAGGACTAGCCTGGGGTGGTTGCACACACTTATAATTCCAGTAAGTTAAAATCTGCTTGAGCAACTTAGTGAGGCTTCGCTTCAAAAAAATAAAAAAGCCAGGTGTCGTGATGTATACCTGCAATTCAAGTATTCTGGGAGGCTAAGACAGAAGGATCACAAGTTCAGGACCAGCCTGGGCAATATAGTCTGATCCTGCCTCAAAAAAAAAAAAAGTGTTTGTAGGGGCTAGGGAATATAGTTTAATGGGAAGGCCCAGAGTTCAGTCCCTAGGACTAGGGTGAAAAAAAAGTGGGACCCAAACTCCAAGAAACTTGAAAGGATTTAAATGAATTCAGTAGAGAAACCCTTGTACTTCCTAACCCTAATGCTCTATTGTTTTTTGATATAGGACATCTGTGAACAAATCATGTGGAAGAAGCAGTAGTATAGAAAGACTGTCTGCCCAGATGTGCATAGGTTTGAGACAGTCTTGGAGGACAACAAGACAGGGAATGAACCCTATCTGCTCACTGGGTTAAATCATTACCTTTCAATGAAGATCAATCAATTTTTCAGACTCTGTTCTTGCTTATACTGGAAAGGTAAAGTAAGAAGGAAAGATTTTGGGCATTCTATAAATCATGAAAAGTTTCCATGTGAGAAAGTTCAGTAGATAACACATATTGTTAGTTTTGAATGTTAGTATTTATTTTTTGGGACAGGGTCCTGCTAATGTAGTTTAGGCTGGCCTTGAACTCACTGTGTAGCCCAGGCTGGTCTTGAACCTGTGGCAGTACTTCTGCCTCTGTCTCCCTAGTGCTGGCATTATAGGCATATGCCACCATTTCCAGCCAGCAATTTTGAATGTTAAAGGGGAAAATAATTTTAAAAAAAGAAAAAGAAAACAAATGGCTTACAAAAAATAGAGTTAAGCTCCGGCATGGTGCCACATGCCTGTAATCCCAGCATTTGGGAGGCTGAGGCAGGAGGACTGCTGTGATTTCAAGGCCAGTGAGGGTTACATAGTGAGTTCAATGCAGCCTGAATTACATAGTGAAATCGTGACTCAAAAAGCAGAACAAAATAAAAAGAGTAAATAAAATACCGAGTAGACTCTATAGATACTTAAAAAGCCTACATTGTTGTTGTTATTATTATTATTTTAGGGCAGGTCCTTGTGACTGCCAGATAGGTGCTGGGCTGCTTGAGGTATATCCCCAGCCTATTTTTGGGATCGAACCAGGCCCTTCCCTTTGAGCTATCTCCCCAGAGTTTTGTTTATTCTCTATTTTGAGACAGGGTATCACTAAGTAACTAAGTTACCCAGGCTGAGCTCAAATTTAGGATCTTCCTGTTTCAGCCTTTAACAGGACAGGGATATTGGTGTATACCATCATATAGGGTGGTCTTGAACTCACTCCGTAGCCCAGGCTGGCCTCGAACTCACTGTGATCCTCTAGTCTCAGCCTCCCCAACGCTGCGATTACAAGTGTGCAACATGTGCGGCCTCCATCACTTATAAGTATGTGTAAAACACCCGATCTCTCCATGTTTCTATTTCTTCATTCGTAAGATGTGAAATTACTACCTCATAGAGGTGTTGGAGGATTAAATGTATAAAACATTTTGCATATTAACGTTCAACAAAAACTGGCTGCTACTGCCAATGATAAAGTGCACCTGCCCTCTTGGTGATAGCATGTAAGGTCTTTACTGGACTGACAAGTAAGAGTCTAACCGTTTCTGCAATACTGATTATGTGGGGCTAGAGCCCTAGGCCAAAGGACAGAGGCTAATTGGGTGTGCAGAGGTCAGGATCCGATGTCATTTTTCTCTCTGGAAGTACTCATCCTTTTCACCCTCAGCCCAGCCAGCGCCTACCTTGACTTGGAGAAATTGTAGTCCCGCGATTCCGGCGAGGCCATGACCCTCAGGCAAGCAAGGCGGCCTGCACTAGCTGCCTGGGAAACTCGGTAGTTTACAGTCCGTCGCCATGGCGACTAAACCCAAGTAGCTCCGCGGTGTGGGCGGGGCCAATGTTTACCACGCCCCCAACCCAGATCCTGTAGGCTAGGAGAAAGGCCAAGTACCGAAGGTAGCCTCGGACCCGGGGGCAGAGTACCCTGAGAACCAATTACTACAGCCGATATCACGCCAGCTATAGAATTGAGGCAGGGGGATAAAACGAAGCAATGCGGGGTGGGAGATGAGGGGAGATACCAGTCTGCTTTGCTGGTGGGAATTGTAGTTTTTGGTGTCCCAGCATCTCTGTTAGACAGACTTATGTCGAGCTGGTGTGAACTACATTTCCCGAAGTTCTCCACCGGTCCGCGAGGAGCCGCCTCTGAAGCTCTTTGCATTGTGGGATATGAAGTTTAAAATGTTGCGAGGCGTGGCAGTGTCCAAAGAGAGGTGCGGGACTCGGACTCGGTTTCCCTGCGGCCCCGGGAGGCTCGCGGGCTATTGGCTAAGAGGGGCGGATCTGGTCCCTTTCTTCCCCGCCCCCAGTGACACAATAGCAGCTCCCTCCAAGATGGCGGCGGCGACGGCGGACCCGGGAGCTGGGAGCCCGCAGGCTGGGGACTCCTCAGGCGGGGGCGCTGGGGGCGGGCTGCCATCCCCCGGGGAGCAAGAGCTGAGCCAGCGCTTGCAACGTCTGTACCCTGCAGTCAACCAGCACGAGACGCCGCTGCCGCGTTCCTGGAGCCCCAAGGACAAGTACAACTACATCGGCCTCTCCCAGGGCAACCTTCGTGTCCACTACAAAGGTATCGTCCCGTCTCACCGCTGGGGCAATAGTGCAGAGCGTCTGCGGGGCGGCTCTGCTGCCTCACTCCTGCTCCATCATGTTCCTTTCCCTGCCTGGGTGCCCCAGATTGGGCCTTGGTCCCTGTGGTGTGTCCAGAGTGGTAGGATTGATCAGGCCGAAGGTTGACTGCCTGATTTGCTCTGTCTTGAGACACCCGACGTCGAGAGTACTGCAACAGGTGTCCAAACCCAAGACTGGGTTGGATCCTCCACTTTAGGGCCTCCCTGCATGTCCTAGGCTGACTCCCAACTCAAGCTGGGCCACTGCTTTGTTTAAGGAGTGACTGAAAAAAAGAGGTGGTAACATCTCCCACCATTAGCCAGAAGTGCATGGGCTGATCTGCCTGCCAGTCATCCCAGAACGGGAATGGCGTTATGTTCTAAAGTTGTTGGTGATGAGAATGACTTCCATGTCCGTTGCTTCTTTCCCATGGATTTCCAAACTGCCTGAGTTCTGGAGAGACTGCCAGCAGCACTTGGGTGTCTCTCACGTGCTCCCACATTGCCTGTAGTCTTGTTGTTATGGAAAACAATGTCTCAGGCCTGCTAGTCTCAGGAGATGTGCCAAAGGTGCAAGGCATGTGTGTTTACTCAGTCGTCTGGTTATTCCTCAGACTGTGTAAGGGTTTCCTTTGTCCAAAGACGGGTGAAGTTACCGTGGAGCAGAGAAGAGTGAAGTTTAGTTTTGCATTTCCTTCTGAAATTTCTACCTTGCCCTATCTCATTAGGTCATGGCAAAAATCACAAAGATGCAGCCTCAGTGCGTGCTACCCACCCTATACCTGCTGCCTGTGGTATTTATTACTTTGAAGTGAAGATCGTCAGCAAAGGAAGAGATGGGTAAGCACCTTGACCTGTATCTGTGTTCTGAATTTGAGGTTTCCTGGGTGTTACTTGTGACTGACTTAAGCTGCTTTAGTGCTTGGGTCTAGGGTGCCGCTGTCCCCTGTCTGTCAGATGAGGTCTAAGTAAGTAGGCATGTTGTGGGTAAAGCAGGGGACATTTTTTAGATGATGTAATTAAATACTTTACAGAACAGGGAGACAAGTAACATGTTTGTATTAACAATTCAGCATCCAAAATGGGGTTTCCCCAGCTAGTGTGTGGTGTTTGTGACTTCCTTCCCTTTGCAGTCAAGGTCCCTTATTTTATAGCATTTAGTTATGTAGAGGCCCCATTAGGCTTCAAAGGGGTAGTAGAGTCTTTGTAGCATTCATCAAAGCTGTAGTGACCACTCTCATCTCGGGGTAAA